AGCAGCTGGGGCGCGGAGTGCACGGTCCAGTCCACGGCGGCCCCGTCGGGGATCTTGATGCGGATGACGAGCGCCTGGGCGTCCATGGCGCGGGAGGGGCCGCAGAGCAGCCAGAGCATCCCCGCCCCGGCGCTCACATGCTGCGGCCGCCCAGGGCTCCCGGGCCCGGCTCCGCCGCCCGCCCGCAGGAAGGAGCCGCTGCCCCGGAACCAAAACGGCGGGAGGGGATGGATGTGCGGCGGGGGAGGAGGAGGAGGAAGGGGAGGCGGCGCCATGTTCGGCGAGGAGGCGGCTCCGGGTTGGGAAACCGCCCCGGGCAGCGGCAGCGCTCCGGCGGTAATTCCAACCCCTTATTCCTTGTGTTATTCCTTGCGTTCGAGCAGGAAAAGCGCAGCTGAGGCGGCGGATCAAACAGGGCTGGGGTTGCTGTAAAAGCAGCGCCAGGTGCCCGGCGCTGCCCGTGTGCGCAGTGCCCAGAGAGGAGAGGCTGAGGGAGCTGGGGGGGCTCAGCCTGGAGAAGAGGAGGCTCAGGGGAGACCTCCTCACTCTCTGCAACTCCCTCAGGGAGCCAGGTGGGGTTGGTCTCTTTTCCCAGGCAACTCTCAGCAAGACAAGAGGGCTGGGTCTGCAGCTGTGCCAGGGGAGGGTTAGGTTGGATATTAGAAAGAATTTCTTTCCAGAGAGGGTGCTCAGCCATTGGAATGGGCTGCCCAGGGAAGTGGGGGATTTTCTGTCCCTGGAGGTTTTTAAGCAGAGACTGGATGTGGCATCAGTGCCATGGGCTGGGAACCACGGCGGGGTTGGATCAAGGGTTGGACTTGATGATCTGGGAGGTCCCTTCCAACCCAGCTGATTCTGTGATTCTAGTTGGGGTCTGCACCCTCAGAGCCCCCGGGGCTTCTGCCCGGGTTATTCCAGCCCACACAGACACACCGGCAGGGACCAAACGCGAGTTTGCGTTGGAATGAACCTCCCCAGGAGCTGGTGGAGTCACCAGGGAAGTGTTCCCGAGGCACCCGGGGACGTGGTTGAGGGGGGCGGTGTAGGGGACAGGGTGATGGTTGCGCTGGATTTTTAGTCTCCCTGGATGTTTAGTCTCCCCCAGGCTCGATGATCCGGTGGCCCCGGGAGTGTCCCGCTCGCCCGGTGTGTCCGTCTGTGCCTCCCTGTCCCTGCACAGCAAACCAGGCACTGGGAATGGGCTGTTCCCGCACAGCCCGACAGCTGTAGTAAGAGTTAAGTATTGGAGCAGTTTTACCAACATCAGTGTTTCCAAATCACAGAACTCCCAGCTAAACACCTCCTTTACCGGTACCCAGATGCAATTCTGCCGTCGCTGAGCTCTTCCGTGGCTGTCAGGGATGCTGGGGGAACGAGCCCAGTCCAAAACACGACCCAGCTTTGTGAGGACAGAAATCCCCGTTGAAGCCTCACATCCCACGTCCTTCACAGCAGCAAAGAACGTGTTTTGACAGCTCTGCGGCCTCCCCACCACAGCCCCGAGCCGTGACACACTGTATTCAGCTTTTAAAACAAGCTTTTCACCTGACACCAGTGACAGGGAACGCTCTCCCCTCCACACAGCTCCAAACTATCCATTTCTTTTTATTAACAGCAGAGCATTAATCTCAATTGTGGGCTATTGATCTGTGCATTTTATCACACTCTCTCGCATTATCATCTACGACAAACTGGACTGTTTGAGTTATATTATCAATTTAGAGGGGGGGGAAAGTGGGAGGTATATTTGATTTAATCCCTGAAACATCTTCAAGATTCCTCTTATTCGAATTCTACTTTGTTTGAGCTTTAGGAGGAAAAAAAAAAAGGATCTTTCAATGGCCATTAACAGAGATAAATTTTCTCTCTGTTCAATAACTTTATAATTTAGTTCCTACACTAAAAATTAATAGAGCCCCAACTCCTAAGTATCTAAGGGACTGGTGCTGCCCACACAGACGTCTTTCTGTTCAAATGAACCTTTTACCTGCAGTCCCTGTGTACCTTTCACTCAGGTTCATTTCAATCAGACTCATTTTCTATTAAATTTTAAAGAATAGGACACAAAATGAGAGAATTTCTATAGACCCGCAATTTTTCTAAAATGTCTTTTTCATTTACAAGGCTATGGGGAAAACCAACTCAATTTGCCAAATTTGCATAAATATTATGTAGATTTTCCAGGGCTAATCATAACCTTAATCCCCCATTCTGATTTGTGTAATCAAACTTGAAGGGTTTTTATATCTTAAGATATAAAATCACGGGTTTTTTTTCATACAGCTTTGGTTTTGCCAGACTTCTTTAAAACCTACGCTTGATCAGAAATTTTCATTCTTAAGGCAGCATTTGAAACAAACAGTCGATATTTATTTTATCAGCCCGCAGAATTCCTGCTGTGAGAACAGAATGTCACCAAAATCTAATTCTATGTTTTTGTCCTCAACGTTGGGGGGAAATCTGTGATGCAAGAACACAAATCTATGATTTTTTTAATACGTATCATAAAATATCCTCCAAGTCCTGTGTTTGACAGCCCCGAGAATCTCCTCTTCAAAAGTTTCTGACACAGGAGGTTGAAGGCTCCGAGAAATAAAAATAATTCATTAATTAAAAAAGAATTAAGCTGATTTTCCCCACGAAATCTGCAGCTGCCACCCCGTCAGCAAGAACCACGCGTAGGTTTCCCGTTTATAATTACGCCTCCAAAGTTATTGTGGATCCACAATGCAACAGCATTCGAAACCTGCAAAGGAACAATATATCAGCTCTTTAATTACAGGAGGATGGTGGAGCAGCCCGGGACTGGTGTAAATTCTGGTTGTTTTTGTGGGGGGGAAACGTTCTCCAGCAGTGCCAGACTCGCTACTCGCAGTCTGCTGCTGCTCTCTGCTGCTTCCCGGCGCCGTGGAGAGGACAGGGGGGGGAGCTGGAGGTGGCCACGGCAAGAAAAATAAATATTTATTACCAAGGAAAAGCAAAACGCTGATGCAGAAGGGCAGGAAAATCATTAGGTTGGAATCTCGCAGGAGCGCTCCGGGAGAAATCCCACCGCGCTGTGGTTATCGGGATGATTTGCAAGGCCTTCAAAAAAGTAAGGAAAGGAGTTATTACTTGTTTAATTCCCTCTGCAAAGTTGCCCAACACAAGTCATTTTCTATCTCTGCCATGGATATCATATAATGGAGTTTTGAGTCCCTCCACCAGAACTCCATCCAAAGAAGAGGGAGGAAGGAAGGAGCAATTCTCCTGATGGTATTCTTGAATATTCCAGGATCTGGATCTGGGTTTTTCCTTGCTGTTGCTGGAGGGATGTGGGAGCTCAGTCTCTCCTGTCAGGAGTTACAGTGTGCAACCAAAATTGGGACCCAAAATTCCTCTAGTCCTGGGCTCAGATCCCTGGATAAAAGGGGCAGGAGGCACAGGAAGGACGCTGAGGATGGAGTCAGAAAGTCCTACATTTTCATTATAGCTCCTGCTCGGCATCTCTGGGAATTTAACCTCACTGCTACTGGAATTTGCCCAGTTATGACACAGGAACAACATGTATCTACTATGTACCACAGTTCAACAGTAAACATTTAACTATTAAAATGTTTTGGAATGCTGTATTCCCGGTACATGTTACAGGGAATTCAATACAGTTTATATAAAACAGACTCCAGGAACCGGGATCTGTGTGCCAGTCCTTGGTTCACTGGATTCAGTTTATCATCTCTGCTTCCTCCCTGTGCCAGTTTCCAGGCAGGAATTAAAAATAACACAGGACAAGCTCTTCATTCCCTGGAAAAAATGGCAGCTGATCGTTGTTTTAGGAGCCCACATTTTCCTGTCTTTTAGAAAAGACATTGATACGTGTTTATAAAATAATGGATCGTGGTGAAATCCACCTTTTTTCTTTCCCTTCCCATGTCTTCCAACAGCTCGGGAGTGCAGCAAACTGAATTCCCTCAGGCTCCTGAAAAAAGTAGGTCAACAGTGTCCAGGCTTTCTAAACATATTCTTCCCTCAAATGCATCTCCTAGAAAGAATCACCAAGTGCTCCACCTTAATCGATACATGTATGGATTAACATTCCTTAAGCATTAAAGCTTCCACAAAACTGCCTCCCCACCAGCCCTTCCAGTCACTCTGCACTTTCTCTGGAATAAGAGGCAAAGGAGTGTTTGTGAACCAAATATCAGGAAATAATTGATCTTATTTTCAATTCAAGTTCAGTAATTGATCTTCGTTTCAACTCACGGGGAGCAGAATCAGGCCTCAAATAGATCTTTTAAAGCTCTTCCTCACAGTAAACTCCTCTTGGAGTGAAAAAAAACAAAACAAAGGTAAACCTGATTTAGGCTGAATTAGTAAATATTTGGTTCTTGCTTTAAATGATGAAGATATATTGAAATAAAGCAGATTACACGATTTGAAGGTAACTCCAGCAGTTGGCCTGAGCCACAGTGGCTGTGTGTGGTTAATGATGTTCTGTCCCCCCACCAGCTGCAGGGGCTGCATAATTGTTTTTTCTGTCAACCTATAAATTCTTGAGTAACAACAAAATTATTGTGATTTTTCTTGCTAAATAATTCATATCTCACCAAGCACGTGGATACCCAGGCCCATGAATCACTAAGCAGGTTACAGTGAGATCTGATGGCATTTCTTCTTGTAAGAATAAAACCAGCTCTGGGGGTTAAACCTGGTAAAAATCAGGTGTTAAAATTCGAAACTTACCTTTTAAGCTTGAAAGTTTCCTTGATCAAACTTCTTGTCCGCAGGATTGCTTTTAATCATGTTTTGTGGTGTTAATTCTATTAAGATTATTAATATCACTGAAAGTAATAGATTGGTTTTCTAATGAACTAGAACAGGGCTCATAAACTGTGCTTAAAGTGATGCAATTTGCTTTTGAAACCACTCTAAGTCGTGTGTATTTTGCTTTTTAAAAGACTTAAATGCAAAACCAACATCTTATTCTTTTCTAGAAATAAATCTTTTAAACAAACTTGGGATACATTAGTGACAATTTTTATTCTACATCCCCTTGATGCAATGCTGGAGTTGCCACTTTTTCTTAGGTGTATTTAAACTGAAAAATACAGCCCAAAAAGTATAACCTGACATCTGTTTCCAGAACCAGGGAAAGAAATCAAGACAACTCTCAGATTTATTAACTTACTTCTCTGCAGTGAACATGAGTAAGGAGCTACAGCAAAAGGCAATTTAAATTAAATGGCCAAAGTAAATAATATATGAAGCAAATTCTCCTTTGTTTCAGGCAAAGTTGCTTTAAAGCAGAGGCCTGAGGGCATTCAGCTATTAAGAAATAGCTAAATTTTATTCAATAATAATGTACATCAGGGAGACCTTTAATTCTGGTTTGCAAAGAGATTTAGGTCAATACAAAAGGTAAGTTGAGGACAGATCCAACTTCTGCTCAAGTCAGTGGAAGGTCAGGTGGCTCCAGGTGTCCCTGAAGAGTGGAGAAATGATTTTTGAGATAATAAGAGAGTACTAATCAAATACACTTGGGAATATCAACCCTGACTAGTATCTAAATCCAATATTAATTTACAACGGGACAAAAAGGTAAGAACTTCACGTCCACCTGGAGGTTTAGCAAGGATTGCATCAACCAGTGGTACAAGGAGTGATGTTATATCCAAAAATATTTAAGCAGGATGAGCTGCCTGGCCCCTGTTTGCATTCCTAATCACAAAACTTCTTTCAAACAACCAAACCACCTCTGTGTTACCACCACTGGAAGGAGACACCACCGGAAAAAAACCCATTTCTTGGGGTAACTCTCATTAGAGCTGCACAGAGCCCGTGGTGAAACATTTGTCAAACACACAAAAAAGGTATAAAAGTGAAATATAGTAATTAAGACCTGGGCTTTATCGATTGTGGGGCTTAAGTCATTTTTCACAGCAAACATAAGATTTAATAAGTATAAGTAGTTAAAGCTCCTGCCTTGGCTGCTCTCATTAGCATGTCATTGAACCGGTAACAAAGAGCAGCTCCTCCTGTGTTGATCACCACCTTATCTTTGAGAGGCAATTAAGGGCCTCAATCATCACAACAAGATTTGATTGTGCAGCCCTTATTGGACATTGATCTTTCAGCAGAGCAGTTACATTTTCCATTAATTTACAGTAGCACAGTTTAACTGGGATACCTGAGCCCCCTGACCCCGGGTGAGGTGGAACACCAAGAGCTCCTTCGGGTTAAGGTGCCCCCAACAGTCATTATTGTTTAAAGAGATGCTACGAGGAGGAGCCACCTGATCCTCTGGGTTTAGGCTGAGGTTTCATCTCTCTGAAGTAGTTAAGTGAGGTGAAACAAAGCTCTCTGCCTTTTTAACATCGGCTCTCCCTCATTTAAACATCATTCTTGAATAGGGCAGAGATAATTAAGGCTTAGGAGATGAACTCAGACTTTGTTTCAAATGGAAGAGCAAACCTGTAAAGGCAGAAGGGTCATTTTGTGGACCAGTTATTTCCCCCAAGAAAGTTTTGGGACAAGGTGCTGTGAATCCTCTTGGCCCCCAGTATTTCCATCCTGCATTCAAGCCAAAACCTAAGTGATAAAAAAGAGACACTAAGCAGCGTGTACTTACAGCAAAAGGAGAGTGAAAGTCAGATGAAACATTTTACCTTTGAAGAAAAGCAAGTAGGTTTATATTCATACTTGAAAATTATCATAACTCCAGCGTTATCCCTCATAAACAGCCAATTTTCCCTCTGAAATCCTGTAAGAGCTCCCCCACGAGCCTTAATGAAAGGAATAAATGATATTATATTTGCACTCTGCCCTCAGACATCTTCCAGTTCATCCTTTAGCACGATCAGCTTCGTAAGAGCAAGAGGTCTATTGATTTTCATGTAATACAAGAAAATATTACATTTGCTTAATTGTTACACAGTGAGATCATTGAACAAGAAATCAGGGCCCCATTTAATGCTGTGAGCAGCACAGAATTGCAGGGATCAATAGGGTAGTTTGTCAGAGATGTTCTCCAAGGAGCCTTGCCCATCACTGTATGGACAAGGAGGCGTGTTGCCTGCAGTTATTGAAAAACAGGTAAGCAAAGTCAGCAGTGCCCATTATCAGAAATCAAACAAGCTGCAGTGAGAGCAGCACCAGCTCCAATGAAGTGCTGTATTTATGGTCTGGTAATTAAAAACCATTTTATCAAGGCTGTGTTGAGCCCAAACCTTTACAGCCAGGTATTGACGAGCTCCGTGGCAATGAATGAGCAGTATTTGACTTTAAACTTATGAGCTGTGGTTCTTTCAAAGGGAAAATCAGCTCGGGGAAGATGCTAAGAGCAACTTTTATTATTAATGAGGGTTCCTGTAATCCCATCTCTTCATCTTGGAGACACAGTAAACTTGTGTCAAGAACAGGCTCCAAAATTAAACAAAATTAAACAAAATGAAACTCCTCTGATTAAAGTGTTTAGTGTCGTTTTTAGCAAAGCTGCACTTCATTAAGTGGGAAGCACTTCCATGGAATTCAGGAGAAAAGTATTTAAATGAAATTATCCTGTAGTCAAAGCTTGATAATAACTTACTGAGGAGCAGAGATTACCCTCCAAAACCAGCACCTGCCAATTTTACGGTGATTTTCCCACTGATGAAAACTGGAATGACCAACTTACGTCACCAGACGTGGGATTTGGAACCAACAGCATTATTTGCTGGCACTAAAACCAAGCACCAGTAATAGATCCTGTACAGGTCTCTCTGTTGCTTGAAATTAATGCCCAATAATTCCACATTTCCACTATCCAAAGAGCTCCCCAAAAGCTTCTTCTCTGCCCAGGTTTCCAACTGAAGTCATTCTGTCATTACACGTGCCCGTAAGTTTTGCTGTTAAAACTGGAGAAATCAGTTATTTGCATCAAAAAAATGAGAGTAGTGTTCTTATTCTCCTGTGTTAATTAAAAATATCAGCAATTTGTAAATTAGCACAGGGGACTGGTTCTTCTAGATCACTTAGGTTTTGTTACTTACCTAAAAAGCAATTAAAATTAAAAATAATAACACATCTGGAGTTCTAAGAATTGCAAAAGATACAAGCATCAAATATATTTTACATTTTTTATTTAAATATCATTTAAAGAAATGTGATACAGCCATTTTGAACTTCTCAGGCTCTTCCAGGTGATTGTAAAGTCAGTGCCACAAATTCATTCAAAGTTCCAACTCTAACAATTAGTGCATTGTGAAACATCCTGTCAAGAGTCTAAACCTGAGCAGCTTCATCTTTTCAGAGACATTCTGAAAATGCCAGTGTGTTCATATTCACATTTTACTTGTCCACAGGCAGTTCTCTAATTTGGTAAATGATCTTTAAATTATCACAAGCTGTACCAGTCAGTGACTGCCATAAACACCCTTAGAAATATTAATTCTTCTCCCAAAGCTTCTACCTTTTCAACTTTACTGACCTCTGCAGAAATAAATCTCTCATGACCGAAAAGTCCAGGAAGCTTCTTGAACCAGCACATTAAATATGAGGATGCACTGTAAGAAAATAACAGTTTCCTTCAGTTCTTTTTAGTCAAAGGGAGCAAATATTTGCAGCAGAAATCACCAAACAACAGGGACTTGAAGGCCTGAGTTCAGTACATGGCTCCTTCGTCTTCTTTATTTAGAAAATAAATAGTAACTGGGCCGTGACTCGTTTGAACAGTCTCTGTGACACTGGCAAAGAACCAGGAGCCAATTCCGTACAGTAAAGTTGGGATGCCTAAGGAAAGACAAAAACATGTTACATACAAAGAGAGCAAGGCAGGGAAAATTAAACTGCAAACTGAGAGTAAATGAGGACTCCAAAATGAAACGAGAGGGAAAGCATTCCTGGAAAAGCTGCTTTATAATTTTGCCTTTCCTCAAATGCAGCTCACAGGACAAAACACCCTTTCTGTGTGTAGAGCACACGGGAGTCAGGAAACAGCCAAAGAAAAGCAGGGATACACAGGAATTATTAGAAAAAGAAAACAGGAGGATAATGATATGAAATGAGTGAAACATGGTCATGCACACAGCCTGATTTCTACCAATTATATATATATATAAACACACAAACATATATATATATATATAAACACACTAAACCCAAACTCCCTGGACATCCACTACATTATCAGAGTTTGTCTATGAACCAGAGCAGAGACAGGATGGAAAACAGGCAGTGAGTTCACAGATCAACATGAAGCTGCCCTTGGGAAAATCAGACCCAACCCCAACAGAACTGCAATGGGCAGAAAGGTTTATATACAAAAAGTGATGTATTTTTCAGCACTGCCAAGTTACCCATCTATTACAGACAATGTTTTATTTATTATAGAAGGAAAAATGGAGATGGATTTAGGCCTTGAATCCAGGAAGGTTCAGAAACACCACATTTGACGTGCTTGAAGTATCCAAATGCTTAAGCAAGATTGTGAGGGAGGAGAGAGACTTTTTAATCATGTTTTCCCATAATTTAAATCTACATGCAGGGAGACATCTACATCTATCTGTTAGAAAGATAAAAGGTCTGACTGGATGGAGGGAAAAAACCCCCAAATTTAAAGTTGTTCTTACAAAATCAGTCTCTGTGATTGTATTTTCTCGTTAGATCAGTCTGGAAAGATCAGAAAATGAAGACTAGCAGACATGTTTTGAAAAAAAGTCGCTGACCACTTGTAAAGTGAAGGAAATTTTAAAAACTGAAATATGAAAACAACAAACTTATGAAATGTTATGCCACTGTTACTGTCAGCATTTATAAGCATTGTATCCACAGCCAAAGTTTTGAATGAACGTGTTTCAAAACTTATACTTATTTTTATATTAATGATGAAGTGCTGATGGAGCATTTTTATTGTAAGGATTTATATTCCAGCAGCACATGAGGATCAAAGCAGACACTGCCGGTGTGGAAGAGGCAAAGATTAGCCCAGAACCAGAGTTTGGCTTCAGCTCATGTTTGTGTATTCGCTCAGAGATCAGAACTTCATGCACGGCATCCAGATTTTCAGATGGAAAACGCTCCGTACTAAAGGTGAGAGCCATTTACACACCAAGCGCTGGAGCGTTTGATTTGTCGCTCTCACAAGTGGCCAGAGAAACACGAACTCGGTGAAACCTCCCCGAGTATCGATTTACAGCTCTGCCTTCTCCCGGAGCCGCAGCTCGGGGGGTTCTCTGAGCTCACCGAGCCCGCTCCGGGACAAGGAGGGGGACAAGGAGGGGGACGAGGGGACAGGGAGAGCCGGGCAGGAGGGGGAAAGGGACATGGAGAAGGGGAGAAGGGAAAGGGGAGAAGGAGAGAGGAACAAGGGACAAGGAGGGGGGGACAAGGAGAAGGGGGACAAGAGTCAAGGAGGGGAAGGACAAGGAGAGGGTGGCAGAAGGAGGGGGAGAAGGGCAAAGAGAGGGGGACAAGGGGAGAGAAGGAGAGGGATGGGGAGAAGAAGAAAGAGAGGGGGACAAGGAGAGGGAGACAAGGTGACGAGGACAAGGAGGAGAGGGAGAGGCGGACAAGGAGGGGGGGACAAGAAAAGGGGCCGGAGCTCCCGCTCAGCGCCGCCGTCCCGGCCCCCCCCCGCCGCTCCCCCTCAGGCTCTGCCCGATCCCGCCCTGCCCTCCCCGGCTCTCCCCGTCCCCCGCGGCCCCAGAGGGCCCGGCCGGGCCGCGCTCACCGGCGTTGAGCACCTTGAGCGCGGTGAAGGCGGCGTTCTGCAGCGCCAGGTCCTGCGGCGCGGCCCGCGAGCAGTGGTACTTGATGAAGGGGAAGCAGCCGGTGCGCAGCACCAGGTAGTTGGCGCCGTCCACGGGCCAGTTGAAGTGCGAGAGCCCGAACTGGTCGTTGCGCACCGCGCTGTACTTGACGCAGAAGGAGGTCCAGTGGGGCAGCCGGCGCTGCCGCAGGTGCTGGCTCAGCACCTCCGAGGCCGCGGGCCGGGCCGGGCCCGGGCCCCGCCACAGCAGCAGCGCCAGGACCGCCTCGTGCAGCCGCCGCAGCGCCCGCATCCCGCGGGGCCGCCGGGCCGGGCAGAGCCGCGCCTGCGCCGGCGGGCGGGGACGGGCCGGGCCCCTCATGACAGCAGGGACACCGAGAGGGGCTGGAGCGTGTCCGGGGAAGGGGCTGGAGCAGCAGGAGCGGCTGAGGGAGCTGGGGGGGCTCAGCCTGGAGAAAAGGAGGCTCAGGGGGGACCTTCTGGTTCTGCAGCTCCCTGACAGGAGGGGGGAGCCGGGGGGGAATTGGGCTCTGCTCCCAGGGAACAAGGGACAGGAGGAGAGGGAACGGCCTCCAGCTGGGCCAGGGGAGGGTCAGGTGGGACATCCGGAGGAATTTCTTCCCGGAAAAGGTTGTTAAACTTTGGAATTGCCTTCCCAGGGAGGTTTGGAGTGCCCATCCCTGGAGGTGCCCAAGGAAGGCCTGGCCGTGGCACTCGGTGCTCTGGGCTGGGGGACAGGGTGGGCACCGGGCACAGGGGGATCCATGGGCTGGGAGGGCTTTTCCAACCTCTGATTCCGTGATTCTGTGACAGACACGCTGAGGTGACACGGCCCCACCTGAGGGGCGAGGGTCACCCTGAGCCCCACCCGGACAGAGGGACCAGTGAAAACATCACAAAAAAAAGGGCAATTACATTTTTAAAGGGGTTTTGTTGGCACTGACATGCTGCCAGAACCATCTCTGTATTGTACCTGCAGCATGCACCAGGTTCACCTGTGCTGAGGAGAAAGTGTATTCAGTTATATTGATTTTATGTAGTGAAAATTAACAGTCACACAACCCTAAAAAAATCCTTCTCTCAAGTGTCAGACTCCTTCAAAGAGAAATATTTTAAAATCACACTCCATAACAATACCACCCTAAAAATTCTTCAAGTGTCAGACACCTCTCGAAGAGAAATATTCCCATATTCCATTTTTCTAAATAAAAGCCAAGGTTTTGAACCATTAAACATTGTATTTAAGGGGAAAAAAAGGCAGAAAACTGAGAAATAGAAACAGCTTTTTCCTTTCAATAATTGCAAGCAATATCTCAAACTCAGCAATCTTAAACCACTGAGCTATCTGGTATGAACTAGCTAATTAATCAATTACTACCCAACAATGTGCCCTGTTTATTTACTGTAATGTACTATTTGTGGGGAGAACCAGTAATTATTCATCATTGCCAGCAACAAATTTGACTCAAGTTCACCTTCCTATAATTAATGGAGCATATAGTTAGTTTTAATAATTTCTATATATATTTATCTATTAGTGGCAACACTGACTGAGCTTAGAAAAGTTGGAGTCTGGTACTGTGGGTCATACAGCTGAGCTAAGATAGTGCAGCTTAAGAGTTACCTCATGGACACAATATATTAAATTACATTAATGAAGGCTGTCAATGATTGCAGTTCCTAAATCTTTAGTGCTGTAACAAAATTTGCAGACAGAGGATCCATACACTGTAACAGGGGGAGCCTCAGATCTACAGCATCCTAATGTTAAACTGATGTTCCTTAAATTGATGTTCCTTAAATTGATGTTAAGTAATCACTGTGAAATGCTGAGGACCAGGTTAGTCTTAAAAATCCAGGGATTTGTTACCTTACCCTGGCTGGAAGGTGGTGAATTCCCCTGAACTGTCCGATTCAATGAGGTGGATGTGCTGAAGAACTGCATTTTTGCTCTGTGCTCAAGAGCTCTCATTCTAAATGTAGCAACGTGGCTGAATGTCTTAGTTTTTTTTCCTTTTATGCAGGGCTTTAAACCCAACTACCTAAAGCAGGAGCCCCAGTTTCCAGTATCATCAACTCCAGGTAATGTTCCCCCAGAAGAACAACCTCTCTCCAGACAGCACATCAATTCTTGCAAAACCAAAATCCACAAGGTGCTGTCAGCTGAACACACACCTTCATTTCCAGCTGTGGACATCACCTTTTTTTTTTTTAAAAAAGATTTTAATTTCATTTTCTATCTGCTGTATTCCTAAAACCCCTAAATTTTTGGCACCAACAGCATGGGAGTGGAATGTGAGAGACTGTCAAGCCATTTCAATCCTTCCCTCAGCTCAAGGCTCAGAAGTGTTAATAGTAATTAAAAACTTTTTTTTTCCCCCCCTCCAAATACATTTCACACTTTGCACATGCCGAGAAATCTCTCTCACCACGGGAACTTTCAGGTCACTTGTTTCCTGCAAAAACAGGTACAGTTTTCTTTTGTCAGGATAGAACAAAGCCAGAAGGAAGTGCAGGTTTCATTTCCTCCCAGGACACTGCAGTCTATTAAGTGCCAGTGAACTAATGAGCCTCTCAGACCTTATGTTGTTCTGGCTTGGATCAAGGCTTGGTTTTCCCTTAACCCTTCAGAATCCAGCTCAGTTCCACCTCAGAAAAAATCTGTGTGGGCTCTGCTATATCCAAATCCAAGACTAGATTGCGGTTACATATTAAAAACGAAAAAAAACCAGGAATTAAACAAAAATACTCTCTTGGATTTTTGTCCAAGCAATTTATGCAAATGTTCTCATCTGCAATTAATTAATTCTGTGAGCAAAGTGGAAGAGAAAAAGGCTACACAAAAGATAATGTGGGATGTTCAGGGATCAAAGACTCAGCACTGGAAAAACTGGGCACTGATCTGGTGCAACTGCTTGGTCACATTCAGTGTTTGTCTTAAAACTGGTTTTCCCTGAGTTTTTTGGGAGGTAATCTCAAAGACACTTGCCATGCCTGGGATAATAGTCTCCATCCCATGGAGAAGATGCTATAATAAAAGAAGATTCTATAAGAAAAATGAGAGTGTGCTCTTTCTTGGAATACTAAAGATAAATGTAACTGTTGGCCTTAATATAGTGCACAGCAACTGTGACAAAAAAATATCTAAAATAACAAAATCTATCTGATGGAGAGACCTGCAAAAATCATGGAACCCTGGGAACCACAGTGCAAGTGGAATTATAATGGTTGGATTTATTGATGAATTAGTGTTATTACTGTTATTTTCGATAATTTGAAAATGAACATAAAACAACTGCTGCAAAAATCTGTAGAGAATGGAAATAGCAGCACAACAATAAGGACAGTCAGTTCCAAGAGGAATATGTTTTGCTGGGCTGACTGAGAAGATGGTGTTTAAATTAAGGTGGCACTTACAGGCAGAAGAATCCTGGAATGGTTTGGGTTGGAAGGGACCTTAAAGCTCATCCAGTCCCACCCCCTGCCATGGGCAGGGACACCTCCCACTAGCCCAGGTTGCTCCAAGCCCTGTCCAGCCTGGCCTTGGACACTTCCAGGGATCCAGGGGCAGCCACAGCTTCTCTGGGCAACCTGTGCCAGGGCCTCCCCACCCTCCCAGGGAAGGATCCCTTCCCAATATCCCACCTATCCCTGCCCTCTGGCAGTGGGAAGCCATTCCCTAGGTCCTGTCACTCCAGGCCCTTGTAAATAGTCTCTCCCCATCTTTCCTGTAGCTCCTTCAGGCCCTGGAAGGCCACAGTTAAGTCTCCTCAGAGTCTTCTCTTCCCCAGGCTGAACAATCCCAATTCCCTCAGCCTTTCCTCACAGCAGAGCTTCTCCATCCCTCTGATCATCTTGGTGCCTCCTCTGGACTCACTCCAACAGGTTTAACCCTGTCCCTACTTTCCTGCCAGGAATCTGTTTCAGAACACAATCTGTTGGAAAGGGTATCTGGGGTCTCAGGGCTCTTTTCAGTGGAGTCTGATCTCCTCTGATTTAGTGACAGTGTGACCCCATTAATAAGATTTTAAAACAAGACACTGAACTTCAGCAACAGGAACACGAAGAGCATCAGGATGATTCCCTGCTCTTCAATAGGGTTTTTTTTGGGGAATGAAGGGCTATTCCAAACACCACACCCAGAAATGATGGAGATGTTCTGTCTCAGTTAATACCAACCCAGGAGGAAAAAACCAAACCTGTTCTTACAGATGAGGAAGCACTTCCAGAAGCATAAGGAATCAGGCACTTAAACATTTTCTGTTAACTATTCTTTCAGAGCATCTGCTTCCCAAGGTTGCTCTTCTTCCAATTTCAGTTTGTTTTCTGCTGTAACTCCTAGAATTGCTTCAATATCTTGAATTGCCATCTGCAAGAGATTCAAGGAATACAAGTTATTTAATGGGCATTATAATGAAATCCAGCAGCCCCAGCTGGCAGTGCCTGCCTGGAACAGGTAAAGACACTTACACAGGACAGGATGCACCAATTAAATTTACTGTTACTTTGGGGACAGTTGGGGGAATTATTAGTAAATACGTACAAAGCTCAGGTAAATAAAAATACAATTTGTGCTTCTAATTAACTAACAGGTGTTTTATTTCACATATGTTAACTCACGGTGAAGAAAAGTTCCCTTTTAGATTTTTCTTCGGTGGCTTCTTTTCACTCTCTCACATTGAAAAAAGGGATTTTTTTGTTGTTGTTTATTCTGCAACGTTGTGAAATTTAATTATGTCTTTCCTAAAATCTGTCATTTCACACTCTGCTTGTCAGAGGAAAGTCTAGTCAGAGTGGGAGGACTGATATAAATTACGTGATGTGATTTAAGATATAAATCTCTAACGCCGCTCCCCTCGACCTTTCACAAAACACTCACAGACAGGATCTTAGAAACTTTTTATCAAGTTAAAGGTGATGTAGCTCAGCAAAAGGACTCCCCGTGGGAAGCTCAGCAATTCTCTGGAATGAAAAAGCAGCATTGTGAGGAGTGATGTTCCAGGGCACGGGGTTGGATTCATTATTGCTTTCCTGGCTCCTTTTCCAGCGAGGTCGGCCCAGAGCAGCTCTGGGGGAGAGGGGGGCACACCTGGGGGAACAGCCCCAGCCTGTCCAGCCCCTCTGCTTTGTCCTCCTTCCCCCTCTCCACCCTGGAGCATCCTCCAGCACACGGATCAGGACAAAGAGCGGAGAAAATTGGGAACAGAATCCACTTGGGAAATCGAGGGATGGGAACTAATGGATTAAGTACGTGGTGGCTGCTGCTTAAAAGAAATCAGTGTTAATAATCCAAGGAGCTGTTATCAACTGGGAAGTTTGTTTCTAATTTCAGATTCTTACCTTGATGGTGTCCCTTGAAAATCAGGCAGGCAATTGTGACAGAACTGTGTGAGGCAGTGCCAACAGCTCCTTTGCTCTTCCAAAGGACACTCAGGAGCATTAGATTA